GAGATTGCATTGAGTCAAGATATGGGAGCAGCCTAAAGGTCCATAGATAGATGGATAGATAAAGAAAATATAGTATGTATGTGTATACATACACACACACACACACACACAGGAATATTATAAAGCTGTAAAAAATGAGATGCAATCTTGCCATTTGCAACAACATGGATGGACCTAGAGGGTATTATACTAAGTGAAATAAGAATGAGAAAGAAAAATACCATATGATTTCACTCATATATAGAATCTAAAAAACAAAACAAATGAATAAACACAAAGCAGAATCAGACCTATAAATACAGAGAACAAAGTGATGGTTGCCAGAAGAAAGGGGGTGGAGGGTTGGGAAATGGGTGAAAAAGAGTGATAGATATAGGCTTACATTATGGAATGAATAAGTCGTGGGAATATAAGCCACAGAATAGGGAATATAGTCAATGATATTTTAATAGTGTTGTATGATAGCTGATGGTAACTGCCCTTGTGGGGAGCACAGCATAATGTATAGAGAAGTTGAATCACTATGTTGTTTGCCTGAAACTAATGTAACATTGTGTATCAACTATACTCAAAAAATTTTTAAAAATCAATAAATGTGTTATAGCCCTGTATGGCAAAAGGGGAAAAGTCTGCAGAAGTATTTTGTTTTGTTTTTGTTTTGCTTTGCTTTGTTTTTCATAACAAGGGAGGATAGCAAGAGAGAGAAATAAAGGAGATATGAAGTAAAGGAGAAGCTATGGGAAAAAATACCAGGGAGGGATGATGGGAAAGAGATTTGGGGATGACACCTATGTACCAGCAACGGAGGGTGAGTAGGCTGGGTTTCTGGAGTAGAAACTCCTTCAAAATGATAAAATTGATATTATTTGTAACATGAATCAGTGTGTTAAGAGATTTAGAAAACTGGGAGAGGTTTGGTGTTGAAAAGGAAGTGAAAAAGAAAGAGAAAAAGCAAGAAAGCAGGCAACCAAGAAAGAAAAGAACACCATTCGGGGGGGGTGGGGAGAAAACACTGTGCAGGAGAAAGAATAATAATTTAAGTGGCTCAGTTCTGATGGCATATATGGTCATAAAGAGGTAAATAACACAAGTCTCTGCCCAAATTATGGGCTTTATAGAAAGGGTGGGGATGGGGAACATTTATGTGTGTCATCATGGTTGGAGAGAGGAAAGAGTTAAATTTTGATCTTCCACAATAAGAAGATCAGTGCTTCTCAACTTACATCACATAAAGGTATTCATAGAAAATGATATTTGTCTGGTGCAAGTCTGAGTTAGAGGTATTTAGAGTTCCAAATGGAGCTACTTGTTACTCAAGATAATTTTGCATGACTAGTTTATTTATTTATTTATTTATTTTTTAAAGATTTTATTTATTTATTCATGAGAGAGAGAGAAGGAGGCAGAGGGAGAAGCAGGCTCCCAAGGAGCAGGGGGCCCGATGCGGGACTCGATCCCAGGACCCTGGGATCATGACCTGAGCCGAAGGCAGACGCTTAACCATCTGAGCCACCCAGGCGCCCCATGACTAGTTTATTTTTAAAACCATGTGAATATGTAACTGCGATTATTGGAACCCCAGAAAATGACTACTTTGGTTGAATGTGTGACAAAGCAAGTTAATATGTCAAAAGGAAAAATAACACATCAAAATATATTGAATCCTTTTTCTTCTTCCTTTATTACACATCAGGGATGAGATAGAAGGAATTATGGCACCCAAGAAAATTTCATGCCCTAATTCCCAGGACCATGAATATGATAAGATATCACACCCATGAATAGGTTACCTTGAGCTTTACTAAGTTTACCTCTAAGTAGGGAGATCATCCTGGATTATTTGAGTGGGCCCAGTGTAATCATGGGACCCCTTAGAACTAGAAGCAGGAGAAGTTTGAGAAAGGCAAATCATCGTTGTGTTGGGAGATGAGAAGAAATGGAGGTGGCTCTGGGAGCAGAGAGCAGCCCCAGCAAGGAAACAGGTTCCTCTAACCTCAACTGCAAGGAACTGTGTTCTTCCAACACTGAATGATCTTGGAAGAGGATCCCAAGCCACAGAAGCACTGACCTGGCCAGTACTCTGATTTTAGCTAAGTGAGGTTCTGAGCAAATAATCTAACCAAGCTATTTAGGACTTCTGATGTACAGAAACTGAGAATAAATTCGTGCTGTTTTAAGAAGCTACATTTGTGGTAATTTGTTACACAACAGTAGCTAATACAAGGGGGTAAAGGTAAGGTTCGTACCATTTTGAACAAGGTTTTTTGCCTTAGTGGCTCTATTACTCAGAGTAGGCTAACTTTGGTGACAAAAAATTCCATGCTTTCCTTGGCCTAGTACCATAAAAGTTTTCTCTTTTAGGTCACAATCCAACTGAATGTTCAGCAATGGATTTAATCTATGCAGTTATTAATGGGTCAGGCACAATTCTCCACACATCTGAGCATCTTCTGGGTCCTGGCCAGTATAGAGGGAACAGAGATTATGAGAAAAATGCAGGGGATTTAAGGGGCCAAGCCTGGAAGTGTGGTAAGCATCACCTCACCAACATTCCATGGGTAGTCACCTCACCTGCTCTGATCCCTCTCATCTACTATAATCCTTAAGTGGGAGATTTAATCTAGCAGATGAAGGTGTACTTGTGAGCAGTCAGCTCGTTTTTTCCCACAGGATCTTGGGAACTGTAGGTATAAGGTAGCATCTTGAAAAATCAACTCTTTCCGGTTTTACCAAAACAAACTTAACCTAAGTTAGGAGTAAGATAGTTTAAGAAAAAAAAAAAAAAAACAGGTTCTCTTTAAGTAAATCATAAATTCTCTGGCTCCCTATAGTGATTTCCACTTTGTTTTATAAACGGCTACTTCACACATTTACATTCCTTTATTGGCTCCTAAACACATTTGATTTTGTCAGCTCTAGACCCAAATTATATTGATGGGACAGTACAAGGCATCTCAAAAAGAAGAGGTAAGGGGAGGGGGACTGCCTTTGAAAAGCAGAGAAAAGTGGAATTCTTGCAGATTGGAAAGTTGCCTGTGGGTCCAGGAGGCATTAGGGGCTTCTGACTTGCTCCTTAGCATTCTCAGTGGAATGGAAAAGCCTCAGAGAGGATGGTTTTTAACTTTCTTACATTTTCACATTGTAAGTCCAGCTCCTAAGCACTGTATTTTTGCAATTTTGGAAAAAAATCCTGTATGCCAAGTGTGGTGCAGAAGTGTCACAGGACACTTAGGGTCTAATAGGAACTGAGATCATGAGTTTCTCAGTGGTAAGTGGTGTGGACTAGCCACTCATGGCAGGAATCCCCTCTCCAGTGACTTCCACTGTCTTAAGACAAGACCCTGTGCACGGGTGCATCCGTGTGTGTGTGTGTGTGTGTGTGTGTGTGTGTTGGTTTGTTGGATGGGTATGGAGACAAATGGGCAGAACTGACCGCATGGGTTGGATTCTCAAAGAATATGATTAAGAGTTGCAAATATCGATTTCCTGAACAGCTGCATTTGTGGACTGAAAGTTAAACATATAAGCACCACATAAATATGTGCTAATCCAGCTGAAGCAAAAGGGGAAATTATTAGTATTATTCAGAGTGAGTTGACTACAAAGTGGCAACCATGTAGGAACTGGAGGCCAGGTCAGGTAAGGACCCTTACCAAGGCTGAATCACCTTGGGAAGTTCAGGCGGCTCATCCTCACTACAGAGGCAAAGGCAACAAGGAGGAGGTTGCCAGTCTCTCCAGCTCCATGCCTCATTATTCTACCACACATAAGTTCACTCCTCGAGGTGGAGAATTTAGGTTTTTAAAAATGACTGAACGCCCCCACTCAAAGCAAGCCTTTGTGTGGAATTCTGCTGAAGAAACCGGTATGACACGGTCTGGGGTTATTCATGAGGACATGAGAGAACTATGAGAGTGTATGTGACTTCAAAAAAGGAGGAAGATGGAGAGAGATCCCTGCAAACACTTATTTTAGACTTTTTGAAATGGGAAGAAAAATGCAGAATCCAACAAGAGTGATGAAGATTGCAGAGAGAAGGGATGGTTAACAACTCCAAATGTATTTAAGAAATTGAGAAGGAGGATTGAAACAACGTTATTAGCCTTGGAGGATGCAGGGTAACTGATGGCTTTTGACCCCAAAACTGACTACCCAAGGTCAATTTCCTTTGACCATTGAGGTCATAAGGTTTGATAAATTCGAAGTGAGTGCAGGCTTACAACTTCAATATATCAGTTTGTCATACTTCGTTACATCTGCATCTCTGCCATTCCCTGCCTCCTACTTTCCTGTCCCTAGGTATGTTTTATTCTCTCCCTATACACTGCAGTCTACCCATTGCCACATTATATCTCATTAATAACAGAACAAACTTAGGGTATATATCCTCAACATAGATTTGTGGAGGAAGGAGTAAATTGGGTGATTGGAAACAGCAAAGCAGGGCATGGTGGGATTGATTTTTATTTCTCACTGACTCTTGGTTCTCGAGCCCTTTGAGAGCCTGCATAGACTTCTTCCTGGTTGACTTACTGAGCCCCTATAATACACAGAGGAGGAGCCAAGGAATTTTAGCACCATAGAAAAACAGGTCCATTAAATATTAAACTGTAAAACAGAAATTGACTTATAAATAGATAACAAACTGGTGGTTTGGGGGGGTGGGTGAAATAGGTGAAGGGGATTAAGAGGTACAAACTTCTAGTTTTAAAATAAATCATGGGGACAAAAAGTACAGCATTGGGAGTATAGTCAATAATATTGTAATAACTTTGTATGGTGACAGATGGCAACTACACTTACTGTGGTGAGCATTTCATAATGTATATAATTGTCAGATCACTACATTGTATACCTGCAACTAATATTGTATGTCAACTATACTTCAATAAAAAATGTATTCAGCTGTAAAGTGAATTGGTGATCATAAGTTGAAACACTCACACTGGTAACAGAGTTTAAATGTGACTTACTCCTTCAAACCCAGAAAATTCTGATATAGCATTAATATTTGTTGCCATTTTATTTTAATTAAGGACAAATTCTTTGAGTGTTATGCATGCCCTTTGTTTTCTGCTGAGTGAATAAGGTAGCAACTATACTTGAGAACATAGGTTGGAGGAGACTATATTGTTTTTCTTTATTTTGGTTCCATAATCAGGAGCAGTGTGGCATTTGGGTAGATTTTGTGTTAGTCAGAGTCTTCAGATTGCTGTTGGTCTTTTGGGGAACATGAGGTAGAAGTTAAAGTAGTATCATCTTGGTATGAAGTTGAGCAAATTGAAATGTTTTTCTGCATATCTTGTTCTGAATTTATGTCAGACATAGAAGTGAAATGTGTGTCTTGTATTGAGCCTTCGCGGGAAGAACAATTAAAATCTGGCTTTTTGTCTTCCGACTGCAGGTTGTATAGGTCTTGGCTCTCAAGTTTCATGTTTTTTGGTTTGTTGTCTCTTGTTTGCATGGTGTCTATTTGCATATCTTCTTTTTGGATATCTGTGGATTTAAGGTCTTGTTGGTTCTTACCTTGATACTGACTGTCTTGAAATGGAATGCTTTGTAATTGTTGATGTCGAGTTATGGCATGCACAGTTTGGGCTTCTTGTTGTAGAGCTGTCTGCTTTAGGGATTCTTTCTCTAATAGATCTTGGGTTTGCAGGATTTGAGAGTCCCACTTTAGGGAATGTGGCATATCTACTTGCATTTCCTGCACTTTCCAATCTTTGCTTCTCCAGCTTTGAACTCTCCAATCTTGGGATTGTTGGCCTGAAAATTGCCAGCCTTGGTATTCCTGGATTTGGAATTGCCCATCTTGATGTAGCTGCTCTTGGACCTGCAGGTCTTCAGCTTGCTGGGTGTGTTTCATGAGGGATTGCCCCTTATAAACCTGTAGAGCTCTATCTTGTCTATCTTTGTGTTGTTTCTTTGGGGATTGCTTCTCTTTGTCCTGTTGATCTTCACTTTGTACATATGGGGTTTGTTCCCTTTTGGATTGTTCCCATTGAGCCAGCTGGCCTTCAGCTTGCTGATCTGGGTGTTGCTGTCTGTCTTGCTTAACTTGGATTTGCTTATCTATGGAGTGCCTCTTTGGGGATAGCCAGTCCTTGATGTGCTCGTCAAGGGATTTCCTTTTTGGAGATTGCTGGCCTTGAATTTGCAGGTCTGGGGATTTCTGTTTTGGATATTGCAAGACTTTGTTTTGCTGCTCTAAATTATGTGACTTTAGAGATGGACAATTTTTGTTTTCCCAGTCTAGGGATTGCCACTTTGAGGATTTCCTGCTGTGGAATTCCTTCTTAGATTTCCATTCTTGGGTCAGTAACTTGACTTCTGATTGCATGTCTTGATATGCTACTTGCCTAAATTGCTGGTTTTGATGTTGAAGGGACTGCTGATCTAGGCGTTTTATATTAGAGGACTGTGCAGCATGGAATGTTGGAGCTTCAAATAGCATGACTTGTGCTGGAAGACCTGGTACTTGAGAAAGCAGATCTTGGTTAGTTATGCCTTGGGATGGTGGATATGGGGATATCATGTCTTGGGATGTCATGTTTTCAGATGGCATGTCTTGGTATGGTGTATTCTGGTATGACATGTATTGGTATGGTACATTTTGAGATGGAATGTCTAGGGATTGTGTGTCTTGGGATGATACGTCTTGGTATGGCATGTCTTCCGATGTCTGGCCATGAGGCTGTGTGACATAGGGTGTTGGGGCTTGTACTGGCAGAGCTTGGGACAGCAAGTGTTTGGTTGGTAACACTTGGAGTTTTTTTATGGAATAGGATGGAAAAACTTGGAGTGGTGGAGCTAGGGACTGCACCATTTGGGTTTGCTTTCTTGGGGGTTGTGCGATAGCAGATTTTAGGTCTTCATCTTTCAGTTGTTCAGTGTATGGAGTATTTTCTGTGGGCTTTTTCTCTGATGTGGGAGACAAAGATTTCAGCTTAGTTTGTTCTTCATGATGTTGTGAAGGTGGAGGGATATTTTTAGGTTCATCTAGCACAGATGCAGAAGATGTATAGTAAATATTGCTGCCTCTCTTCCTTGAATGTTGAAAAGCTAAAGGATTTCTTGAGATTCTTAACTTGAAGAAAGTATAGCCTCCAATGAAAACACGTTGCTTGTATGTCGTTGAATCATCAGTGGAAGACTGTTCTTGAAGCTCAAATTGTATTGCAGCATTTTCTTCAGGGGCAGATAGTTCACTATCTTGAGTAACATCCGAAGGCAAGAAAAATACAATCTATAAAACCAAAGGGTAGGGAAAACATTAATGTAACAACCAACCTTTGATGTTCTTTTCTGGTATTCCCAAATGATTTTTCATCTCTGCCTTACACAAGGAGTCAGAAAACAGATACCATTATTAGCACTGCTTTTGCCATCAACTCATTGGTTTTATTTTGGACAAGTCATCACCCACTATTATCTCAAATATTGAAAAGGGGCATTTGATTAAGATTGTCTGAGATATTCTTTCCATACTTAATATTATAAATCATCTCAGAAATTTAAAAGAATCTACTCGGTATTCATATATTCAGTTTTTTTGGCTTTTTAAAAAAGATTTATTTATTTCAGTGAGAGAAAGAGAGAGCAGTAGGGAGGGGCAGAGGAAGAAGGAGAGAGAAACTCAAGCAGACTCCATGTGGAGCCCAACGTGGGGCTCAGTCTCATGACCCTGAGATCAGGCCCAAGCTGAAACCAAGAGTCCAACACCTAACTGAATGTGCCACCCAGGTGTCCCCACATATTCAGTTTTATAATGGTTTACTGTTCACCTACTGGATGAACTAGATACTGGAGATAAAAAATAATTTGATGTAGGTTTCATCTATAAGGTGTTCACAATGGTAAGTAAAAAAACCAAGATATAAATAGATAGCAATACAATTTAGCAAATGCTATTATAGAAATAGATTCTAAGTGCTTTATGGGAATGTAAAAGATGACCTAATTTTGAGTGCCAGGAAATGCTTCATTGAGGAGTGCTATTTGATCCATGTCTTGATGGATGAGTAGGAATTCCTTAGGCAAAAAGATCAGATGAAGTAAGATAAGAGTTGAAATCCAGGTAGAAAAAAACAGTGGGTACCAAAACACCAGGTTATGATGCAGCATTGTGTGATGGCAGATGGTAAGCAGTTAGATATTGTTAGATATTATGCTAGGTGCTATAAATTGAATCTTTGTGTCCCTCCAGATTTATATGTTGAACCCTAATCTCTAATGTGATTGTATTTAGAGGTAGACTCTTTGGGAGGGAGATTAGATTATGGGGCTGTGGGGCCCTTGTAAATGGAATTAGTGCCCTTATAAAAGGACCCCAAAGAGCTCCCTTGCCCCTTACTCCATTCAAAGACACAGTGAAATTACCAGCTATGAACCAGGACTCTGAATATGCCAGAACCTTGATCTTGGACTTCCCAGTTTTCAGAACTATGAGTAATAAATATTTGTTGTTTAAGCCACTTTGTCTTTGGTATAGCAGCCCAAATGGACTAAGACATAAATAGATACCAAGAAGTGGGAGTGCTGCTGTAACAAATATCTAAAAATGCAGGAGCAGATTTGGAACTGGGTAATGTTTGGAGACTGGAGAAGGTTGGAGGAGCATACTAGATAAAGCTTATATTGCTGTGAATGGACTATTGAGGGCAGTTGTGGCGAGGGCCCAGGAAGAAAAAAGGAGAGCCATAGATAAAGCCTCAGTCTTCTTAGAGAATACCTAAGTAATCCTGAATGAAATGTTGGTGGAAATATGAAAGATAAAGGTCATTCTGATGAGGTCTCAAACAGAAATGAGGAATATGGTATTGGAAACTAGAAGAAAAGTGATCATGGCTATAAAGTGGCAAAGAACTTGGCCAAATTGTATTCGTGTTCTAGTGTTTTATGGAAGGTAGAACTTGCAATAGTGAATGAAATGATGAAATTTCGTGTAGTAAATAATATTATTAATAATAATAAGTATTTTATGAAATAAATAATAAAATTTAGCTGAAGCTATTTCTAAACAGTGTTGAAAGTGAGGCTTGGCTCCTTCAGACAGCTAGTAGTAAAATGTGAGAAGAGAGAAATTATTTAAAAATAGAATTGTTAAGCAAAAATGAAGCAGGACTTAATGGTTTGGAAGATTCCCAATCTAACCATATTGCAAAAAATGAGAACACTAGGAGCATGACCAAGTGACTTGTTTGATGAAGAAATTGGTATAGGTCAGCCATCTCAACAATAGCCAGAACCTATTCTCCAAAACAGTGGAAGAATGACACCAAAGGTGATTCAGAGAGCATCAGGGCTGCCACTCCTATCATGGGCCCAGAGTAAAAGGCCCTGGGAGAAGAATGGTTTCAAAGGACAGGACCACCTCTCTGGTTTCAAGCTGAGCCAGAATGCCCCCTTTCAGTGTCTCAGAGGTGGGCCACTGCAGAGAGCTGCTGCATGGGCTGCGACCAGCTGAGCCATGGGATCATGACCACCTCCACTGAGATTTCAAAAGATAGTGCTGCCTGACAGAGACATGGGCTTGGGACCCCAACCCAGAAGAGCCATAGACATAGGACTCCAGCCCAGAAGAGCCAGAGGACCCAGGAAGAGAGCTGCTGCAGGGGCAGAACTCAGGTGATGAGTTACCGTGGGGCCTTCCTGCTGAGCCATAGGGGTGATGTCACCCCCACAGTGAGCTTGGAAGTCAGAGCACTGAGCCAAAGAGGATTGTTTGTGAGCCTTAAGGTTTGTTTTGCCCTGTTAGGTTTCAGACTTAATTGGGACTTGAACTTTATTTTTTTTTCCCCTATTTCTCCTTTTTGGAAGAATACACCATTGTATTTTGGAATTTTGGTATCATAACATGTTTGGTTTCATAGGTTCACAACTGGCGGGGAATTTGCCTCAGGATGGATCATATGTTGAGTCTTACCCGTATCTGATTTAGATGATATTTAGATAAGACTTTGGACTTGACTTTAAAGTTAATGCTGAAACAAGATAAAACTTTTGGAGCTATTGGGATGGAAATAATATATTTTTCATATGAAAAGGACATGAATTTGGAGAGCGGGAAGGGATGGAATACTACAGAATGAATGTGTTCCCCCTAAATTCATAAGTTGAACTCAATCCCCACCATGATGGTATTTGGAGGTGGGGCCTTTGGGAGGTGATTAGATCATGAGGGTGAAGCCCTTATGAATGGAATTAGTACTTTTATAAAAAGAAACCCAGACAACGCCTTTTCCCTTCCCTCCTTGTGAAGGCACAATGAGAAGACAGCATCTATGAACCAAGAAGTGGGCACCCACCAGGCTCTGAATTGACTAGCACTCTGACCTTGGACTTCCAGTCTCTAGAACTCTGAGAAATTTTTGTTATTCAAGCCACCCAGTCCATGGTACTTTTGTTATAGCAGCATGAATGTACCAAGACACTAGGCCAGGAAATTTGAGCTTGAGCTTAAAAAGTTTTTTAAACAACTAAATGACAGCAACTGATACCACCTTTAGCCAATGCTTCCCATTCTTCACAATTTTTCTTTCTTTCTTTTCTTTTTTTCTTGAGAGGGGTTGTCATTACAGACCAATCTACTGAGTCTTGTCAGCCTGTGTCCTTTCTAAGGTCATCCACAGAGTCAGAGTAGACTACTTGTTCTATTTGATGAAGTGATTGGAACTCTGAGTGATTAAATGATCTAATTATGTTTACCTATTTGATTGATGGCTGGCCTAAAATGAGTCTTCATGTTCTGTTATACTACACATTGTCATTCCCCACCGAATTGGTTTTCACACCTATATTTTATCGCCATTGGAAGGCTATCTATGTGAGGATTAATAGCACTTTAAGGGACATTTCTGCATTTTTACTCTCAAAATTTGTTTCATTTGAATAGTAATTTTTTCATTTGTTAAAAGATTTGGAACCATGAATTATAATTTCCTTAACTTTATTCAAGATTTTAAGTGTACTCATCAGTGATTACCAGGTGCTAGACAAGGTTCCAAAGTCATCTCAAGTAATAGTTATTGTACTCCTATGAGATTATTTGAAAGAACTGAGGTTCCAACCAATGTCACAGAGCTATTAACTTGTGAAGCTAGGAGTCATATACTGCAGTTGAATTCTAGGTCCTGTGCTTTTTTTCTCTCCATCTAATCTATGCTAATTTCTAATACATGCTTCTTTATAATAACCACTTAAGTTATACCTTACTCCGGGTGGCTATGACTGAAGACTATATAAAATAATGCTTTGGGCATGGTGATTGGCACAGAGAAGTTGATCTGTAAATATTAAGAGTTCCCTTTCGCTTTCTTCTTCTTGAGATCAGGGTGCATATTACATAGTACCTTTGCATTCTCTGTTGTACTTTGCACATTGCTATGCCATTAAAAAGCCCTTTTGGTGGAATTAAACTAACTAGTTATTCAGTGTGAGTAATTTGTTTTAATATTGCTCCTAAAAAGTTTCATACTCTTCTGTGGTTGTATCAAGAAAAGAACAAACATCAAATACCCGGGCTCAGATAATATAATAAAAAATGCAAGCTTGAAATAAAAAATTATAAAAGTTGATACTCATTCATGATAAAATGTTCTCTATAGATGAGGATAAGTTTAGTCTATGAAACTCCTATAGGTAACATCATACTTAAGGGTAAAATGTAAAACTTTTCAATCTGTGGTTTGGAACAAGAAAAGATTGGGTATACTCAGCATTAAAAAAAAAAAAAAACATTTTCCTGGAGGCTCTACACAGTACAATAAGTCAAGAAAAATAAAGAATAAAATTTGCAGATAAAAATGTTTTCATTTACTGGTATAACCATTGTCTACTTAGAAAGTTCTAGGAAATCTATACAGAAGCTACTAGAATTAATAAGTTTATTAAAGTCTTAGTATACCAGTATATAAAAATAAATTACATTTCTATATGTAGGAATGGATGTTAGGAAAATAAAGTTTTAAAATATATGTATGATAGCAAGAAAAAACATGAAATACTTAGGGATAAATTTAACAAAATATGCAAAAGACTTATACACTGAAAACTATAAAATATTGCTGAGACAAATCAAAGGAGATGTAAGAAAATGTAGACGTATTCTATGACATGGGCAAGCAGACTAAATATTACTAATAAGTAAATTTTTCCTAAATCATTTATAAGTTTAGTGAAACTCCAATCAAAATCCTAGTAACATTTTTTAAGAATTGATAAACTAATTCTAAAACTTATATGGAA